CCTCTCCTCTCGCCTCTCCTCTCGCCTCTCCTCTCGCCTCTCCTCTCTCCTCTCTCCTCTCTCCTCTCTCCTCTCTCCTCTCTCCTCCCCTCTCTCCTCTCCTTTACTGAGTAGTTTTCACAGAAGATTGGACTGGCCAGGGCTGCCGTTGTCAATTTCTTCTAATTGAAGCCTCTCTGCTGAGCAGTATCTTCTATTTGAAGTGCCCGAAATCGTAAAAATCGGTCTGCGGAGATTCTCTGGACGTTGTCAGTTTCTTCTATTTGGAACCATGGCCCAACTTCCCCAAAATGACTGCCTTCTATTTGAAAATATTGTTTCTTATCTTCTATCTTTCCCGTTCGGATTATATCCCAAAGCTCTTCATGGATTGGGTCGCACAGTGTGCGGAGAGTATCTACCGTCAGGAGAGTTAGTTCACATCCAAAGGTATCCAGGCCGTAGCTCTTGGATAACTGCTCAATCAAATAGTCTTCTAGCATTTCCCAATTATGGTGGATGCTTACCGGAACGACTATGTGTATTTCATTGCCTGCCATAGTGACGAGCTTGAGGGGACAAGGGCAGGTGCCGGCAAGTTCATCGTCGCAACTGTCGTACATGCTACCCATCCACGAGTAGCTCCAGAATTTCAGCTATTGTGGGTTTGAGCCAAAAGCTGCCACTCTTGCTATTAGTTACCCTGCTTATTAGGGCAGTACTTGACTGGTGTCAGGCATCCCAGAGGGTTGGGGGCCAGAGGCAGCGCTCGTGGTGTCCATATTTTGCTCGGTTTGTGAATCCGTCTGCGCGGCTGTAATGGGGTTTGTTTGATCCATTGTGGTGTAAAAAACATCAATTCCTAACCGCGAGCGTGTTGTGGTGACAGCCTCCGCATCCTGAAGATACCTCGAGTGACTGTACCACGTGACGATGTGCTGCCACTCTGCAGCAGTGATGGCGTTCTGTTGAAGGAGGGTGTACGGCAGTTTCGCTTTATCCACGAGGTCAGCCGGGTATCCCCGTTGGTAGTAGACCCTGAGTAGATCTCTGGGAGTGATCGTAAGCGTGCATTTTTTGGCAAGGATGTGCCAATTGGACCGCGAGAGAACCACTGCCAGGCCCGTGAGGAGCCATTGGAGATGATTTCATACTTATTTCCGGTGCTCCGAGCAGAGTAGGTGTCCTTTGCTCTGAGCAGAAGGCTTTGCCGAAAGGAGAAGCAGCCTTCCCCGTCAGGTGGCACGTAGGTGTCATCTTCTACCTCCTCTTCGTCACACTCAGGGTCCGCCGTGGCCTCAGGTGTTTTAAGCGTTTTAAGCGTCTCCTCATTTGTGGCCGGGACGGGCATCGCCATTGGGGTGTTTCTTTCCAGTGCGGAATCGAGAATGCAAGGTTGTCTAGTCGGCTTACAATGCTCTCCAAATGCAATCTCGTCCACGGCGTCCTGACACAGGACGTTTCGCTGTCGGCAAGGATGAACCTCAAAAGGTGTTGAACTTTGAATTCTGCCCAATGAGGCCCTTTCACTTCAAGGCATTAGGAGAAAAGATAGCGGTGCGAGTGCTACCTTGTTTAACTTGGTAGCGGAGCTGAGATCCGGATTGGCTTCGGCCTCTCCGGGGAGCTCCAGGGGCGAGAAACCATTGAGCCCAATTGCGGACAGGACCCAATCCGCTCTAGATCCGCGTAGCCCGAAGCCATCGTTGAGCGCCCGCGCCTTTGTTGAATTGTTGTGGAGTCCAATCTTTCTTTTGCTGTTTTGCAGTGATTTTTGCAATGGCTGACGAGAGAGGTTCGCAGGATTTTCCAGAACTTGAGTTCACTGGTGCACCGGGAGCTGAAGGATCGGATGGAACAGGCATTCAGGCAGGCCAAGTGTTTGCAATGTTTCAGCGTCTTACTGAAAATTCTCAAAGCGCAACCAATGCAGCAGTACATGCAGTCCAACAAATGCAAGCATTTGTTGCTTCGTCTACAGCTGGAACGTCTGCGTCGAGGCCTGAGGACGTTACCAAGGTTTTGAAGCAGCCAGCTGTTTTTGATCACGAGAAACGTGACGACCAGACTCGAAATTGGCCGGAATGGGCATTTCAGATGAGGCTTTGGCTTGGGTATTTGGACACCGGATACATGTCAGATCTTTCAATGGTAGAAGACAATCCAGATCGTGTTCCAGGTCTTAGTGGAATGAGTGATGCCATGAGGACAAGGTCAATGAAGTTGTATGCAATCCTAGCTACGTACATTAGAGGTCCAACTCTGAAAATCATTCGTGCAGTTGAGCTTCACAACGGCTACGCTGGTTGGGGTGCTTTAGTGACACACCTAGAACCACGTAGCAGACAGAGAGCGCTAGCATTGTTGGATGGTTTGACTTCTTTTCAGTTTGGCAAACGTACAATCACAGAAGGCATTTCCGAGTTTGAAAGGCTTGTGCATGAATATGAGCTAGCAGCTGGTGGTGGTACAAAGTTCAGTGAGGAGTTGAAGATAGCAACATTGCTACGTAATGCCCCAGCTTCCATCAAACCTCAGCTGCAGTTGGCCTTGAGCTCTGCCACAACATACACTGGACTTCGCCACACGTTGATGGCGTATGACCGGGCTTCAGTCAACTGGAATGCAAGCAGCGTGGTTGGTGGCACTCTGGGTTCAGAACCATTCAAGCCTTCAGGAGACACTGGAGGCCCTATGGACGTGGATCGGGTCGAAAAGGGAAAAGGAAAAGGTAAGGGAAAGCGCAAAGGAGACGCCAAAGGAAAAGGAAAGGGCAAAGTGAAAGGCCCCCCACTTCCTTACAAAGGAAAGGGAGGAAAAGGGAAAGACAGAGACTCTGGAAAGAAGGGTTTTGAGAAAGGTGGCAACAAAACAGATTCTGTTTGCTGGAATTGCGGTAAAGCTGGACATCTTTCAAAAGATTGTTGGAGCAAGAGGCAAGTGCGGCAAGTTGAGCAACAGCCACCTGTTGAGCCCAGTCCAGGTCAAAACAATCCGAGCATTGCTACAACAACCACCTCTCAACCAGGTGGTGCAACAATTCGACGGGTAGCTTTGGTAGACTTCACTCACATGTCGTCGAGCAGTGATGGGGTGGTTCGAATGGTTCAGTGTGGTCCATGTTCCGTGCCTTGCTTTGACATGGCCCATCGCGATGATGAAGAGGACTGGACTTTCTTTGATGCTTCTTTGACCCCTGTTTATGATTTGAGAGACTGTGAATGTGATGCTGCCATTGCCCACGTGCGTCCTGTCAGTGTATGGGACAATGCCGAAGAGGAGTCAGAAAGCCGTGACATGGTGGAAGTGATCCTTGATTCGGGCGCTGACCTTTCCTTAGCTCCATTTGAGTATGCTTCATATGGAACACCATGCATGCAGTCAAAGCAGAATGTCCGTGATGCCCAAGGAAACCAAATCTCTGTGTCAGGTGAAGTTGTTTTGACCTTAGATCTCCTTGGTCCCTCCGGTGACGTGGTGGAGGTACGTGAGAAGTTTCTTTTAGGACCTGTGCAGCAGCCAATTCTTTGTTTGGGCAAGTTCTTCCAGAACGGCTGGAGCTTGAATCAGACTGCAACCTCCCACTTGGCTTTGTCGAAAGAGGATATTGCAATTGATGTGGACTACAAACAAAACTCTGTGCAGGCATGTGCTTTTGTCCGGGCTCTGACCAGTGATGACATTCCTGTGGCTCTTTTGAGTGAATTTTCTGGAGTGCAACGTCGTGAAGGCTGGCATTGTTTCGAGAGCGAAGAGTTTTGGTTTCCAGTGCATTTTAGCAAGAACAGTGTCAGATTCAAGTCCGGCCTGCCTGCATACATCCCAGACGCATGGCCTTACAGGACCACTTTGTTGTACATTGAAGGCAAATGGTTGATCGTGGAAGGCAACCAGTTGTATGTTGAGGAGGTCATGCCATATGGCAGACATGGTAGAACTGGATGTCCCATGATCACCATTTTGCATCAAGGTGCGTTGCCGTGGCATTTGTTTTTCAGGTCTCCTTCCGAGTGTCCTGAGAGGTTTCGATTTCTCCGCCCTCGAGTTCAGCAGACCAAGTCCCAAGCTGAGTCCATGCAAGTTGACCAAACAGGCAATGAAGATCAGAGTTCATCTCCAGACAACGTGAGAGAAGAGCCGCGCCTAGAACACAAGGAGACCCGAGAGTGTGAAATCCAAGCAAGTCCAAACATTGAAGCTGTGCCGCATGACCCTGTGGTAGAGTATGCCCCTCCGAGCAAGATCAAGGTTGGTGGAGTGGAACTTACAGAAGAGAGCACCTTGAAGGTGATGAGAGAAGCGTGTGAATTTCTTCAAATTGGTAAGACTGGTTCAAAAGCAAAATGCTGGAAGAGGCTCACTACTCATTTGCACGAGTTTGAAAGCAAGATGGCTGCAGATGTGAGCAAGGAACTTTTTCAATTGGACCGCCGTGTGCCGTCAGCAGTGACTCTGGCCAGTCGACCGAGTGAAGAGTTGGTAGTTTCACATGAGCTCACGCACGTTCCCACAGAGCCTTGGTGTGAGACTTGCATGGCAACAAAGGCAAAGGAGGACAGAGCATTTTCACTTCCACGCCTTGGTGAAGAGATGCGCAGTGTACCTACCTTCAATTTTGACTATGCAATCACAAAGTGCACAGATGTCTCTAGCGAAGAGATTCCTGTTTTGGAGGCTCCTGTTGTGACAACCTTTGTTGGTGTGGATAACTGGACTCGATCATGCCTTGCAGTTCCAATTGCTGAAAAGGGTACTCGTTCTTTGAAGCAACTCACGCAAGCAGTTTGCAGATTTTTGAGTAGATTGGGATACGATGAGGTGTGCCTTAAATCTGACAATGAACCAAGCTGCAAACAATTGCAAGAGTCTATCATTGCCACTCGAGCTGCCCTAGGCCTTCGTACATTGTCGACATATGCCCCAGCAGGTGTGGGCCATGCAACTGGGAACGCCAGAGTCGAGCGCATGATCCAGACCATTCGTCGCCAGGCAATGTGCCTTAGGTTGGATGTTGAAAAGAACTACAAGGTCAAGCTTGATAATCATGCCTATGTGTGGCCTTGGTGCTTCAGTCACGCAAGCTTTCTGATTCAACGCTTTCAGGTGCAGAAGCAGGTTGGTATGACAGCGTATGAGCAGGTGACTGGAGCACCATATCAAGGCAAGTTGTGCAAGTTTTGTGAACCAGTTCTTTACAGAACAGCAAGAAGAAAGGAGATATAGCATGGTACAGAGGCATTTGGCTTGGTAAGAATGAGGACTCTGACAGGCACATCATTGGTACACCTACGGGTATCTGTGAGTCACGAACTGTCAAGCGTATTGATGGAGAATGGAATGTGATGCACCTCTATGTCATGAGAGGATTGCCATGGGAACCAAGGGCTTTGATTGCAGATGACTCGCTGAAGGAACTCAAACAGAAGGTTGTGGCCATTAGAGAAGATGCCATTGCAGGTGGGGATAGTGATGCCGACAGTGACCTACCTGTGCCACCCGTGGAGGTGATCAATGAGATGGTGCCATTGACACCAAAACCGAAAGCTTTAGCTGAACCCCCTCCTTCTGCAGTGTTAGCTGGAATCCCTCCAGCTGTTCTTGACCAAGTTCCTCAGACGCCCATAGTGACAGAGATGAGTACCACTCCTTCTCCGCAGCCTGATCCTCAGGCAGCTTCATCAGATAGCCGTGGCTTCAAGAGAGATGCAAGCCCTCTTGAAGAATCAGACAGTCAGGAGCACAAGAGGTACATGCTACCATCTTTCGCGGAAGCTTCTCAGGAAAGCCCCAATAAGCAAGACCAAACTGGACAAGTTCTCAGAATGGTGCAAGTCAATGGTGAGGTCTTGCCAGATGGGGATGAACTAGGCGATGGTTGGGAGTACTATCTTCCAAGCGATGAAGAGTTTGATCAGTTCGAGCAGTACAATTTTTTGGGAGAGACACCACCTGAGCTCAGCCCAGAAGACCTTGCTGCATTAGAACTCAAGGGAGATCATGAAGAGATTGCCAACCTCATGAAAGCTGAAGTCCTGACACCAGTTTCTGCTGATGAAACCATTGGAAAGGCCTTCATGTCTACACGTTATGTGAGGGACTGGAGGTGGCGTGATGGTCAGTGGAAAAGGCGATCTCGCTTTGTCAGTCGAGAATTCAAGTGGTTGGAGCCTTGTCGTGATGAGTTTTACTCTCCTGCTTCAAGTGTGGCTTGTGCAAAGATTCTTTCGAGCATTTGTTTGCAGAAGGGTTGGAGCATGTGGTCCATTGACGTCAAGAACGCCTACCTACTTGTTCCTCAACCTACAGAGGTATACGTCGAACCACCAGGCATTTGGCTTGAACAAAATCCTGGAATGAAGTGGAGGCTCAACAGGTTGCTTCCGGGTCAAAGGGTTGCCGCCCAGGAGTGGTGGAAGTTTGCAGTTTCCACATTCAAGCAGCATGGGTTTGAAGTGTGTCAAGCCTGTCCATGCCTACTTCGACATGCTCACGGACTCCTTTCAATGCATGTGGACGACTTACAGTTTGTTGGGCCAAAGAAGGAAGGAACAGCAATTGTGGAAGCCCTTCAGCAAGCTTTCACTATGGACGTTCAAGGACCATTCCATGAGCCAGGAGATACATGTCAGTTCTTGAAGAAATACTTTCATTTCAATGAAGCTGGAATTGCTATCCGTCCAAATGAGAAGCATTTTCTGGCTTTGGAGAAGTTGTTGAAACTGAGCTCTTTTGGCAAGAAGTTGAAGGGTCCTGTACATCCAGATCTATGCAAGGAAGACCGAACAGATTTGTTGGAAAGCTCGAAAGCGGAAACATATCGCAAAGCCGTTGGCATCATTTTGTACATCAGCAGTGACAGACCAGACATCCAATATTGTACAAAGTTGCTAGCAGCATACATGAGCAAACCAACAGACTTAGCGTGGAAAGGTCTTTTGCGTTGTGGTCAGTACCTGATCCAAACAATGGGTTATGCAGTGCAGTTGAAGAGCAATCCTCCTGGTACAACATGGCTGGGAGCGGTTGGTGGCTATGAGGAGTATGTTGAAGGGAATCCAACCATCTTGGAATGCTATACGGATGCAGACTGGGCTGGACATGTAAATAGAAAAAGCACAAGTGCAGGTGTGATTCTTTTGGATGGGAATGCCATCTATTCCTGGAGCCGAACACAACGAACACCTGCTCTTTCCAGTGGCGAGAGTGAATTCATGGCCTTAGTCGCAGGAGCTGGCGAATCCCTCTATGTCAGAGCTTGTTTGGAGTTTTTACTTCGAGACAAAGTTCAGATTCAGTTGAGGAGCGACAGTGTTGCTGGACGAGGCATTGCAAAGAGACAGGGATTGGGCCGTGTTCGACACCTAGGGGTGCAACAAAAGCTGGCAGAGAAATGTTTTCGATTAGGACCAGTCGCTTCAATGGTGAACATTGGAGATTTGGGAACCAAGTCGTTGCAGGTGAACCGTCTCAGTTTTCTCTTGGGACTCCTTGGCATGGTAGATTGTCATGAGGATTTTTCCTTGGTAGGCAGAGATGAGCTTGAGCGACAGCAACATGACCAGCATTTCCGTGAGAAATTCAAAGTGCTCTCAAAGTTTTCAGGTACAGTTTCGAGAATGAGCAAAGCCTGTCCTCAAGGGACACAGCACTCGTGAAGCGAATTCTTCAGGTATGCGTAATGTCTAGTTTGGCAAGTGGAGCTGACAGTGCAGACAATCAACCAGATGGACGATCGACAGGTGATGCAACTTCTTTCATTTTGTTAGTAGTTGTGGCGCTTTTCATTTTTATGCTTGCAGCCTTTCTTGTTGGCATTTTGCTTGGCAGGGGCTGCACCCGGCATGTGAGAAATGAGACACGGGCATTGGAGATGACAAGTGTTGGAGTTCAATGCGACGAAATGCGACAAACGCCAGCACCCACCGCAACCATGATTTGCAGAGTGCCTCGAGAGATCGTAGTGACAGCTCATGGAACTGCATATCACCAGGTGGGATGTAGCTATCTACAAAGATCTCCAAATGTCAAGAGATATGCGCCATGTGCCCGATGCTTGGATAGCCTTCCAGACCGTTCGCAAGTAGCTAGTTCGAGCACAGAGCATGAGAGACCAACGCAGCCGGAACCTGATCATGAAGATCGAATAGTTGTTCAGCAAAATGAAACAGTGAGAAGAAGGGTTGTATATCGCCGTCAGCTTCGCCACAATGACCCCACAGCAGAACCAGAAGCAGAGCTTGTATAGAAGGGCCTTGAGCCAGTTCAGGTTCGAGAGCATTAATTTCATGTTCTCGAAGGTGGGGTGTTGAACTTTGAATTCTGCCCAATGAGGCCCTTTCACTTCAAGGCATTAGGAGAAAAGATAGCGGTGCGAGTGCTACCTTGTTTAACTAAAGGAGTGAGACCTTCACAAAGAAAACCCAACACTACCCAGTGGCCAAGATGAACTGAGAGCCGGTGCTGAATTCATTGCTCCTGTTTCACCTTCTCTTTATTTGGCCGACACGGCTGCGTGAGCTACATACCAGGTTGCGGTTCTCTGTTGGGTTCGCTTTTGGGTTGGGGTGGTTTGGTGGTTTTGTTTAACTTTGGATTGGCTGACTCACAACCACTCACAACCTAACATTTGGAGGAAGTGAGGAATCACCTTCCACCGAGTGCCGTTGCAGGCGTAGGTGCAAACCGCCCTCCATCTCCCTTCCTTGTCAATCTCTTGCAAACCTCGCATCTTCCAACGTCGAAGCTGGGGTTTCAAGAATCTTTGAACACTTCGGCATCAAGTTGCCCAAGGACCCTTCGACGGAGATCACCCTCCTTGAACAGATCAGCCTGACGGTGCAGCTCAGCTGCCAAGCCACATTGTTGTGATGTTTCAGCATCTCTTTGCTCCACTTTGTCCTGGCTTGCTCGAAGAAACCTCCATCTTTCCAAGTCGACAAGTCTTTTGGAGAAATCTCAGTTTGTCTGAAAAGGTGAATGTTGCACAGCCAATTTCCCCTTTGCTTTTTGGGCCACGAAATCGGATGTGGTTGTTTTGTGTTATTTTCCCATCAATATGCTGTGTTTCCTATCCTTCTACGATGACCTGGGCACACCGCCCACATGGCGTCCGCACTCGTGGAAAAAAAAATCGGGCCACGAAATCGGATCCCTCAGGTCATGGTAAAACACAACATTTTCAGATTTAGGCGCTTTGACCGAACAGATGGCGTGCTCATGAGTTCGATACGGCACGATTTGATCATGGTCATGGATCTGGCAAGCGCATGGCCAATGCAAGGGCTCCAAATTCTGTTTGGGAAGAGAGGCCAACACCACAATGTTGCGGGCAATCGCCAAAAATCTTGACTGCGGCTGGAATCCGGAGCATGATGCCTTCTCCCTTCCTGAGCACTCGAGCCGGACGGATTGGGGGCGTTTGAGGCACTGGTGCCGCTCACCTCACCTTGGGTCCACGTTAACGACGACGATCCTTGGAAACAGGCAAGGTCGTTGGAGACTTGGGACTCGTCTCGAAGAGGACCATCTGGAGAATCACACAGCCAAAGGATGCCCACAATCGGACAGTCATTGAGAACTGGCTCAGTCGAACTGGATCCGGACAATTTGGATTTCCAATTGCAAGCTTTCAGAGAACCCAAGAGTAGTTCGGAAACTTTTGCATTGCAGGCCCCCTCATGCTGTCTCCTCTCCGTTCGGGGAGACGGCATCCTGGCTTCAAATGCGACCTCATACTCAAGAAGTCTGAGTGATCAGAGAATGGCTTGCGTGTTTTCACAAAAGAATTCACAGGAACACATCTTCCAGTGAGTGCACAAAACAAAACTGCAGTCAAGAATCGACTAGCAGCCACTGGTCCATGAAGGAAGAGTGCGTGCAGACACAGCGTGAGGTTGGCATGACCATAATATGCAAATCGAAAAGTGTACTGCACCGACCTGAGGCCCATTTCAGATCACTGGCTCGAGACAGAGGAGCTTCGCATTTTCATATGTTCGTTTATTGAGCAATCATACATGCATTTTTAGTGTTGATGTTGGGGGGTTGAACAGGGCAGTTTGATCGTGTGGGTTCGAGGATTAGTCGATGTTTGTCACGTGGACTTGGACGATGCTGCATTGTGGCTCGTGAGCGGGATAAGAGGCATTTTAACTAAACTTGTCCGATCCGCTTGTGTAGTATTTCCTTTTTGGGCACTTGTAGTTAGCATTGGTATCCATACTGCTGTGCAATCATGAAAAGTCCATGGTCCATGGTGTTCAAGTGTCCCAGCACTTAACAACTTTAACGATGGTGTATTTTGAGTGTGGGCAGCACGCGCCTGAGTTTTGACATGCTGGAATCGGTGTCCGCAAAAGCTTGCTTGAACGTCTGTCAACGCCAGCCAAAAACAGATCAATAGCCAAACCAAACATGATCAAGACTGGCAGCCCGCTGTCCCATTGCTCTTTTAAGGTGCAATGAAACGGTGCTCCTGGCACCATGACGCAGCTTTCCACCCAACAGCTCAACATGTTGAAAGTTGAGCCTCTCTATATCTATATCTTTGTACGGTGCAACTATTTGAACGAACAAATTATGACACTTTGTCAAATCCAAAATGACAGGCCAAATAGTTTTACTACCTGTGCAATAAATATGTTTTAACTGTATGCAGTTTCGTTGCCAGTTCATCGGATGCCCAACTTCAATAAACATGCGCGTATGTTTTTAAGTTTTGAATTGCTGCAACTCTTGCTTTGGACCCTTTGTTTGTTTCTGGTGTGGTCTGGATCTGTGTTTGACTTGTCATTTTCAATGAGAAGTCCCGCTCCTATGAGGAACGTTTTGATTTGTTTTGGTTGATGCAGCATGAATCTGGACAGTTGAATTGCATTATAATGCAGGCCGCCTTCAAAGATCTTGTGTTGTTTAAACATTTTCTTGATGGGATTGTGCATGTTTCTCTCAGTCGATTGCCAGGTGAAAAAACCAAAGCTGGCAAAACATTTGTTGAGATTAAACCTCAGACCGGAGATTGACTAACTTGTGCGTTAATGTGCCAATGCCTGTGGCTGTGGTGACTTTGCAAATTTTCCACGTCCGAACACACTTATCGAGGTTGCCGTGCCTCATATGTGAGTTGCATTGATTGCTCCAAGGTGGGTTGTTTTGAGTTGGACTCCGAAAAATCCAGTACCCTAGGAACGAAATGAATAGCGCGAGGGCTTCTTCAAGGATACTCACCGCCCTCAGCGGGGGGGGGATTTCTTGAAGAAACCTTAATTTTCCTGCGTCCTAAGTAATAACTACTTAAGCTACTTAAGCTTACTAGCTCATTTAAGCCTACTGAGTTTTTCACGTTGAGTTGTTTTGGAGTTCGAGTTGGTGAAGACTCCTCTTCAGGTCTTCGCCTGGAATGAGTGGGAAACACATACGAGTTGCGTTTCAGAGGCTCAGAAGTACCAGGCCTTCAGCCTCTCGAAGAACTATTCATTCCCAGCATTTCCTTGCTTTGTTTGTTTCTTTGGCTGTTCACAGGGAAATTTGTACCAGCCGAAAGAGCTAGGAACCAAGAACAATTTTGGAGTGTGCAACTCGTGCCATGTTACTTATGGCTTTGCACACATTGGGCATTGGGTTGTATTCCTCAAGGAGTACAAACAAAGGGCAACTAAAGCAAGATGCTTGGGTGCCTTCCTCATTGTCCACTGAGTTTTTGTTCTCTTGTATCTTAAATTTTCAGATTTCTTCGATATTTCATCAGGTGGACAATGTTAGACAAGCTATTGAAGACCCAAAGATGGACATTGCGCCGCAGATGAGGTGAGTTGAATCATGGAACCCATCGGCTTACCATGGTTCGTTTCTTGCGAACTGTGAAGGATCCTGCACTCTTGGAGATTTGTCCGTCTTGTTTGCAGTATGTCGTTTCTTTGCGGAGTGCCAATCCTTGCAGGTCCCAGATGGAAAAACTCCTAGGTTTCTTGGTATGCATGGTGTAAGGTGTAAATGTGTTTGTGTGAGCTTGTCTTGAGTTGGTTGTTGTGATGGTGGCTTTGTGGCTTTGGGCCATGTTGGGCCAGTGTGCTTGCAGGATTTGACAACATCCCGCGAAAGCAGAAAGCTTTTACAAACTTTGCCCGGCTCCTGATTCACCTCAGCTTAGTAGGTTGCACTGCAAGCGGTGCTTCTACGACTTTGGCAACCTTGCCTTGGCTTGGTTTGTTCATGGAAGAGTCTCAAGGTCAAGAACTCGTTGAAGATATGGGATGAAGCAAGGCAATGTGGTTTTGACAGAGTTGGTCTTTGACCAAGTGACCATGATTTTCACCAGGATAGAAGCAATGTGGAAGATCATAGCAGCCGCAAATGCAAAGCCAGCAGGTCGCCTTCGATCCTCTTCTTTCAAGCTGCACCGCTGCACAAGTTACTTGCCAAACCACCAAATTGGCCAGGAAATACCAACCTCGGCAAGTCCGACCAGGTGCAGAAAGAAGCAGCCAATTTGGAAACTTGAGCATTCAGACTATTTACTCGCGTGTGTCAGGTGATTTACAACATAGTTCCATAGGTTCAATTTGCTGTGGAAATTGCAGCTTCTGTTTGAGGCCAAAGCATGGCCTGGCTGGACCTTCAGACAGTGCAAAAGCACTTGCTGTGGATTCTCAATATATAGTATATAGGTAAGTTCAAGACATGCGTCGGCGCATAAAAGGTTTTCATCGGTTTGCATGGAAGACCAGCTAGTAGATGTGTGCAGTTTTTGTGTTTTGCATGGAAGACCCCATTGTCGGTTTTGCCCCCAGGCTGGAAGCGAGCTGTCGATGAAGAGTTGGAAGCTTCCGGCGGCGCCATGCCGTGGAAGCGATTGCGATTCACTCAGTTACAGGTTTCAGAGCTGAGCAGTATTTTCTAGCTTTCGGAAGATTCTGTCCGCTGTGTGTGAGTTGCATTCAAAAAAGAAGGTACAGAGATGTGCGCACACAGACAGTTGAGAGCAATCTAACGAGATGGAGAAGTTGAGGGCACGCGTTTGGGTGCAGATGGGTTCAATATTTTTCAAATATATATATATATATAATTGACAAACGCAGAAAGCTTCACCTGCAATCAGGCGAAGTTACTCGACAGACCACACAGCACAGTGCATGATACATGGTGGCCATCGGCAATGGCTGGCCGATCTGTGGAAACTCTCATTGCAAGAAGCAAAGGGCGCTACTAGTAGCAAAGGGCATCGCTACTAGGAGCAAAGGACGCTACTAGGGGCTCCTGGCCTTAAAACTAGGAACAAGAAGCTACTAGGGGCTCCTGGCATCGCTACTAGGAGCATTGAGCATAAGAAAATTCAATCAGGAAGAGTGCATTTAGTGACCCGCGTGTTGGGCTGGTGGCAAGCCAATCAGGAACGGCTTCAAAAAGATACTGAGAATACCATCCACCCTGCCCAACAACCAAGAAGGCTTGCAGCATCTTGCAGAAAAGTTGGGACTCTTTGAGATGGACAGACGGCCGGCTGAAGATGGTTCACAGCACTTGGTGTCTCTTTCAGGTTGACATTTTGTGAGATGCCTTTTGCTGTGGCCTGGTTCACCAGCCAACTCTCCAACTTCAAGTCAACCCTGTTGCCGCACACCTCATGCCTGCAACGCATGCATTTGTTGCACTACCACAGTATCTCCCCTTGTGTGTCTAGTTGCAGCAGTGGCTGTAAACTTCTCAGGAGAGGATATTTTTCTACAGAATTGCAACATGGTGCAATTTCCCCAAGAGTACATTGCGATTTGCGCTGAGGTGTTTGCGTTTGGTTGAGCGATTCAGTGAGACTGGATCTGGATGCAACGGACATGGTGATGATCTAGAGCTGCAGGCTGGAGTTTGTCCCTGATCATTGTTACGTACGGAAGTTTCCCTAAAATCTAGGAACCAAATCATTAGTGCGAGCGCTTCTTCAAGGAAGCTCCGACCCACGCTCAGGCCGGGGGGGAGCTTCCTTGAAGAAGGGTGAGCTAGTTACTAGTAGATAACTAGTCGCCATTACTTAATTAAGTAGGCGCGAGGCAGGGAGTAAGGAGGCAGGGCCACTTGAGCTTGGGAAACATTTGTCCGAAAGGCTTTGAGTAGCATTCCAGAGGGTCATCCTGGCGAGTTAACTTGTCAAAGCACAACGACCTTCGTTTTAGTCTTGAACTTCCAAAGTTGTTCTCAGCTCTTACAGATAGAGCAAGCCTAAGAACAGGCTCCTATGATAGTATGAGCTATCCTGTGAATGGCAGAATACTGCTCTGACAAAGACCCTACAGTTCAATACTCAGCCGACGTTTGTGCAGCATCGCGAATGAAATGACACATTTTTCCGACGGAACAGCTTGCACCCGGCTAGCTCAATGTTTGATTTAGGAGAGTACTCGGGTCTGGTTTGCAGAACTTGGTTTGATGGACAAAATGCAAAGGTATGCATTGATGGCAGAGTGTGGCAATTTTAGACTAATGTGGAAGTAACAACACATTCAAGCGGCCTTATATTCAAAGTTGTGAGAATCAACCAACGCGCATGCAAATGAGGGATGACAGAAGCGAGGTTTGGTGCTTTGTAGGTGTTTGTTGCTAATCAACATTTGTGGACTAGTAGCGATGCCCTTTGCTCCTAGTAGCTTCTTGTTCCTAGTAGTAAGGCCAGGAGCTACTGGTAGCGTCCTTGTTCCTAGTAGTAAGGCCAGGAGCCTCTAGTAGCGTCCTTGCTCCTATATTCTGAAATATTGTGATTTTTGCATTTGTTGGCTGGTGTGGTGTTCGCAGCTTCCAAGGTCACGCTCGTGAGATAAAGGGTTTGTGAGCAGTGGTGGAAAGTGCGGTCAGCTGTCAGATAATTATGAACGTCCTCGCATGAAGCTTTGCCAAATATTCCAAGCATGCTGTTTGTACTTTGCTTAACAGAAGAGTATCTTGAAATACTTTGGCACGTCAACTGCCGCAAATTGATGCCAATCTATCACGACACATGTGCTCAAGCAAGCTTGTTCGAACCAACATGCGCTCTCTAGTTGCAATTCGTGCGTCCCTCATTTGATCTCTGCTCAAGTGTCAAAATTTGTGCAACTTCTCGGACGGAAGTATCAACATTCTCCAAACTCCAATTTCTACCTGAGGGAACGCAGCCAAAGAAACCTTAACTTGCCAAGATTGGATCAGTTAAAGGCTCTAGCTGAAGCAGAACTTCATGGACAACTTAAGATCTTGCCACAGCAAGGAGCAAGCACGCAGACCACAGGTTTGCAGCCAATGTTCACATGCAACTAGAGAATTTGTTTTCGGGTTTGCCAAATTGCACGAGGAGCAAGCTTGGGAGGTGAAATTGCACGTTGTACATGTCCCATACCCCAGCTGACGAGTTTGGCATCGATGGCACCAGGCAGGAAATATAGAGGGATAAAGTTCCAAAAGATTGAAGACTTTAGCGAAATGAACGGGTTCTTATGCGGCTTTATCCAGGACTGAAAGCTGCACGTTTGGCTACTTTGTGAAGCTCTTAGTACTGTAACTGTAGAGCCAGGCACGAGCCTGGGCCCTTGCATTCTTTCTTGTCATTTTGTGTTGGTGTTTGCACATGCACAAGCTAAGGCTTCGAACATTTGGTTTGTGTCCGGCTGAGATCTCCAAGCAGGAGATTGAATCAGTTTGCTGGCAGCTTCAAAATCAGATGATCCGCTGTTGTTACCGAAGGAGTCGAAGGCTGCTGTGAATACTTTGAAAGCTGCCTATCGGGAAAGAGCCAAGGTGAGCTCAGCTGCCAATCACAGGGTTTTTGCATTGCTTGCAAAAGCTGTGCTAGGTGCAACATCCTGATCTAGCACCTGCTGACAAAAAGGCTCAAGCTCAGGAGCACTTTGCCAAGCTTAGCACTGAGTACGACGAGGCACCCATAGTCCAATTTCTGAAATCCGTCAAAGTACAACAGAGGTGAAGGAAAGGCTGCATGAATGCACAGGCATTGACCCTTTTAGAGGCTGGAGCCCTTACCTTAGATATGGATGTCAAGTAGCGGAGATGCCTTGGAGCTGCATTGGCGACTTTGGCAGTTTGGTGAATGTGAGGTGAATCCAATCATGGCTGCTGCAACGTATGGTGCGAGTGCAGAGCCAAGTGCACAACGGGACTTCTTCCTGCAGCTTCCTTGCACTATGAAATGCTTGACTTGACTGGCTTGAGGCCAACATGCAAGTGCCCATCCTGCATTCAGGCAGTTGGGGCACATCCCTCCTTGTTTCTTTCAAGCTTTGGCACTTGGTTGCCTGAGCCGGCATTTCACTCTGCAAGTGCAAGTGACTGCCAATGTTCCCGGCTAGTTTCCCTAAACATCTAGGAACCAAATCATTAGTCCGAACGCTTCTTCGAGGAAGCTTCCCTGCCCTCAGGGGACGAAGCATGAGCTATCCTGCGTCGGGTAGGTAGTAGCGTCCATGTAGCAGCGGCTTGTTTACTCCCTTGCTTCATTAAGTAGGCACCTACTTAATTAAGTAAGGGCGGGCCAACAATAGAAAGCAAATCCAGTTCAAGACTTGGCAAGTTCACGACTGCCAACTTACCACTTGGCCACTTGACTCGGCACACTCAACTCACCCATGAGCTGCTCAACCCCTTGTTGCCTCACCACTGAGCCATCCGAATACCTTATGCTTTTTGCCATGTCAAGACATATTAGCTCGCTTAACAAGCAGCCAACTCCCCACTAACACTCAGCTGCCAAGCTAGCCTACCACTTTAATACCTCAACAGCTTCACCACTGAACTGCTTCGCCAATGAACACATTCATCGCTTGCTTTGCTTGCGTGGCTTGCTAGTGCATGGGCGAATATGAGGAAAAGGAGCTTTCCATTGGGGGTGCCGCAAGCTGTTGCTGGAAAGAGCTTTTCTGAACAATTCCAACCACAGCGAAAGCAGTTTCTTTGATAGAAACTCTGCCGTGCCTGTGAAGCGGACTTGTCATCCCTTGAACATATTTTCAGAAGGTTGCCAGCAGGTGACAGAGTTGTGTCTCTAGGCACCACGTGTGGAGAGAGGGAAGCAGAGCATCCAGGTGCCAGCTTGTGAGACTTCGCACAGAGACTGGGTTTAAGTTTAGAGTAGGGCCCGGGCAGACTTGACCAGAGTGCAAGGCACGTCTATGAGCCGCAGCAATTTGACACCTACACAAGGGTCCGTGAACCTGGGTGGCTGCTTTCAGATGCAAGAGACAAATTAAAAAAACAAGTTACTGGTATTTTCTACTAGCGATGGCCTCCAACCTACTAGCGATGACTAGTGATGGCCTCCACCCTAGTAGGGATGGCCTCCAACCTACTTGCCATGCAAAAGTCACCATTTTGTCTTTCACTTGTCAGACTTGAGACTGTCTCTCGGATCTCCCCCATTGAAGTAAGCTGAAATTCGTTTCAGGTCAAAGGCCACGTCATCGTGTGGAGCAGCTTGTTCGTTTTTCTTACATGCTTGAGGCCGGAATATTGTCAAACATTTCAAGACCCGTCAGAGAGTTTAGCGGCTGGACGCTGGAAGCAGTTGACAGGGAATTTTTGGTCGGCTGCGCTGGAAGCACTTGGGCTTGGCAGCCACCAAGCAATCTGAACCCTTTTTGGGTGTGAAGTGCTTAGTCGTTCAGTCGTTCTGCGAACCAACATCACTTTTTAGTTGATATGGCACTAGGACTTGGACCGGAAGCCTTAGGCGAAGATATTCAGAAGCCTGGGGGCCACAGGGACAGGAGGCGATGTTACAATCCATGAGTTTCATGTTGAACACTGTGAATTGATAGCGATGGCCTCTACCTTAGTAGCGATGACCTCCAACCTACTGTCACAGTTTCAGACCTTGTGACTGCAGGGGCGACAGAAGCCACAAGGCTGGCGCGAACCTCGTGATGTCACTGTGGTGTGTCGCCGTGTGATGTTCAGGTGAGAAGACGGCACTGAAAGAACCTGCGCGCACTGCACAACCCAAAGAAAGAAATGTTTCGTGGAGCCTCCATGTCTTTTTGTTTTAGTACTTACAGTGACCAGGGTGTTAGACTTGTGCCAGGGAATTTTATCAAAAGAGGCGGATCAGCAATGTGCGAAGAGACACACCCCAGAGGCTGGGTCGTTTGAAAATACCATTTGCATAGCATAGACTGTTGAAGTGTTTCCACGCGAGGGCTTGAGCCCGTACGACATCTCAGCAAATGAGAATCCGATTGTCTCGGACAAGAGCAGATGCTCTGCCTCCACGTGGGTTTCACATTGTGTGTGTCCTTTAGGGTCCAAAAATCCTACTTGCACCATTTTGCTCTTGGGAAAGAACTTACTCAAAGCCAAGATGGTGAAGTGTGAGTGCGATCTAAAGGGCTCAGAGTGTGGAATGCTTCAGGGATTGCCCTCATATGTCCCTTGCATACGTTCATCGCCTATGCACTGGTTTGAGATGGAATGCGCCTGTCAAATGTCCAGGCCTAGGCTGCTTTGCAACAAACCAAATGTGCGAAGTCAAATTTGTACCAAAGAGCGGTGCACATGGTCAGTGCGGGCAATGGTGTTCATCTGAATCCAGAGCTGAGAAGCTGTGGAACTTGTACAAAGTGCAGTTTCAAGCTGCCATGGGCGCAATTGATTGCAGCCTGGAACTTGCCAACTTGCCGCTTTGAAACGAAGTTCTATCAAGTAAGTAAGTCCAAGAAGCTCTGAGCAGAATGTGTTGGTTCTGGGCAAGTTCTCCTGCAGATTTGCCTGCCAGAAGTGTAGCAGGGAAATTGAGCCTGACATGTGGCCCTTTTGTTTTCCTTTTGTTTGTTTTCATTGTCAATGCAAGACTTGTTAAATGCCCATGTTAAATGCCCAAGACTCGGATGGCGCTGAATGGCTTGGCTCTGACAATTTTAATGAAGGGCGTAGACGTGCCCCCCTGCAGAAACGAAGAGTGTAGAATGGCCTGGGCCTTGAGTTCCCGCACCGGCGGGTTGTTTTTGGCATCTCATGTGTCTCATATTCCACATATCGTTGGTTTCAGAGTGGGCAAGGAACACAGTCTAGATTGAGGTGCGATACCTACTGGCATTGCTTTGCTCCCAGAATCTGATACAACTGTTTTTGGCTAGTTGAGCGTGCTGGGATGGTTTGACCAGGGCAGCCGTGCTGGCTGCAGAAGGGACTGCCCAGGCCAGCCTCTCGCAGCTCGTATGTGCAAGCGTTCCTAAGTGCTGCTCTGTGGCGTGGGAGCCAGGTCGGAAGCAACACGGAGTTTCGACAGATCCGAGTTGAAGGTGACGACTTGATCGACAAGTATATCAAGGAGAAGAAACACCACTGCAACATGGCTGTATGATGCTCAAGCTGCAAGCTGTTGCAGGAGACGTCACGTGTTCACGAGGCTCGGCTTCTGATTCGACGGTAGAAGAGATCAGATCAGGTAGAAAAAACGGTATGATAAATAGGTGCTGAGAAGGACCTGAGGCTAGTGCAATTGCTTTGCAGAGATACAGGTCTATTCCTCAAACACTGTGTGCTTAGCAAGGCTGGTTCAGCACAACACCGAACACTTCGCGGAGGCAGTGGCAAGAGTACTATGTCTAAGCTGATAAGAGTGCAAAATATGTCCTTTTTCCCGAATGCGTAGCGAAGGGTTCTCGTTTAAATTTCGGGGTCTGGCGATAGAGCCTTGTTCGCGACCCGTTGTTTCTAAGTTCGCAACCGTCCGCAACCGTTCGCAACCATCCGCAACCGTCCGCAGTAGAGCGCTAAGGCGCTGCAATTGGGGGAAGCTTTTGGAGAGGGTTTCGGATGAAAACGTGACGTGTCAGATTCGTGTGAAATAGCGAGGAATCGTGTGGAAATGTACTGTAAGATGTTGAAGTGTGGAGGATGATTTCACTGCGCAGGCGCAGCGTTTTGTGAGATCCGCAGTTTGCTGCGCAGTTCCATTGGGATTAGCGTTTGGAGAGTCGTGTTTTTGGGGTGTTGGATGTGGCCGTGCCATTGGGCTTTGCGTTTCACGGTGTGGCATCGAAGCTCTGCTTTCGTGACAAGTCTCAGCTGAAGTGGCGATTTTGGTGGATGGGAGTGTGCTCAGAACGGGTCGAAATAATTCCAAACGTGTGGTGTGCGAAACGCTTGTTTTGGAGACTTGACGTGTGACCTTTGGAGGAAGTCTCGTACGAAACGCTCGTCTTGCAGCCTCGAAGCGTGTGTCCAAGAGTGTCCTGTAAGAGTGCTCCACAAGAGTGTCCTACAAGAGTGTCTCACAAGAGAGTGCCCCATAAGAGTGTCCCGCAAGAGTGTCCCACAAGAGTGTCCTACAAG